CGTGAGCCACCGCGCATGGCCGAGGTTTGTATTTTAAACAAAAGGTCTGTTACTCCTTGAATGGGGACGACATTGAAAAGTCCCTTGGCCGGGTGTGGTGGCTCACACCTGTAATCCCAGCACTTTGGGAGGCTGGGTGGGGGGTGGGGTGGATCACGAGGTCAGGTTCAAGAACAGCCTGACCAACATGGTGAAACTCCATCTCTACTAAAAATAAACAAAAAACAAAACAAAAAACGAAAAGTAGCTGAGTGTGGTGGCAGGTGCCTGTAATTCCAGCTACTCAGGAGTCTGAGGCAGGAGAATCACTTGAACCCGAGAGGCAGAGATTGCAGTGAGCTGAGATTGCGCCACTGCACTCCAGCCTGGGTAATGCAGCGAGACTCTGTCAAAAAAAAAAAAAAAAAAAAAAAAAGAAAAGGAAAGAAAAGAAAAAGCCCCTCGTTGACTGGGCATGGTGGCTTACACCTGTAATCCTAGCACTTTGGGAGGCCAAGGTGGGCAGATCACGAGGTCAGGAGTTTGAGACCAGCCTGGCCCGTATACATGGTATACTCACATGTACATGCACACATGAATTGAGCATGTGTAAACATCCAAACTGGGTATACATGCATGTACACGCACAGTAGATGGTACACATGCATGTGTGCAAACACACTGGAGCTGGTAAATGTGCATGCACACACACGAGTTGGACATACACACATGTACATGCACACCTAAACGGTATACTCACGTGTACATGCACACCAGATGGTATATGTGCATGTGTACAGACACACTCGAGCTGGGTATACATGCATGTATGCACACACAAGCTGGGTATACAAAATTACAAAATTTAATACAAAATACAAAATACAAAAATACAAAAATTAGCCGGGCCATGGTGGTGCCCCCCTGTAGTCCCAGCTCCTCGGGAGGCTGAGGCGGGAGAATTGCTGGAACCCGGGAGGCGGAAGTTGCAGTGAGCCGAGATTGTGCCACTGCACTCCAGCCTGGGCAGCAGAGCGAGACTCTGTCTCAAAAACTAAAACTAAAACAAAAGTCCCTCATTTAGGTTCATCTGTGGCACTCAGGGCCACTGGACAGAGCTAGGATTTCTATCTCTGTGTGTGCAGTTCCGGGATTCTGCAGTGAGGTCAGATGGGCCCATGATAAAGGCCTCTAAGGAGAAAGGTGAATTCTTCCATTGCCTGCAGGGGAGGCAGGGGCTGGGTCTTGCCAGGCCTTTACTGGAACTGGTGGTCTAAGCTACGCATCTACCTCTGCGCGTGTCAGCCCAGCTGGGGCCACTCACCAGAGTGACAGGAGGCCACCTGAGTTTTCCCCGGGGATTCTAGTCCAACGCTAGCAGGGAGGGGAAACATGCCCCTCAATGCATCTGCTCACTTACACTATCACCTCCTCCACCCCCCAGCAGACACTGATTCCCCAGTGTGTGCACATGTGTATATACCCAGCTCATGTGTTTGTGCACATGCATGTATACCCAGCTTGGGTGTGCCTGCACGTGTGCCCAAGAAGGATGTGCAATTCATGATTCATGACCACAGGCTGGTGGCCAGGAGGGTCAGGGGTGAGAAGCATGGTGGGGAGCTTCGGAACAAGGGACGGGTCCTGGTCGGGTACAGACCAGGACCCGTCACCTGCAAGACAGGGTCCAGGAGGCTACAGCTAGCCTCCTCCCAGAGGCCCCCAAGGCCCGGTATTCGCTCTGCCTGCCACACTAGCCTCCTGGGCCATGATGTCTGTGACTCTGCAGGGCAGTGACCCTCCCAGCTCTGCCAGCCACTCATTCACTAGCCACAGCAGCTGTCCTCACTTTGTGCCTGGCTCTGCTGCGGTGACACCTCCTCACTGGCCACTCCCCATGAAGCTGGGCACCAGGGCCCTACTCAACCCCTCAAGCAGAGCTGCCCTGCTCTGATCTCAGGGCCAGGGCCTGGTGCTAAACCCGCCCTGGCACCCAGTGGGCATCGGCAGGTGTGTGCTGAGGGTTGGAGAGGTGCCGTGGCCCCATTCCTCCACCAGCCCCTGCCTTTGAAAGCTGCAGGAGCTAATTAGGGCTTTCTTCTTGATCACCTACATTCTGCACCCCCGGGCACCGTCACGACGCGCTCCTCTCTCCCTCCCTCTCCATTCTGTCCTTTGGGGCCTGGATCTCACTGGAAGTGAAGACGATGGCAGAGGGCCGTGTGGTGGAGAACCTCACAGCGCTGGTAGGAGGAGGACAGATGCCCTGCAGGAGCCTAGAGCCCAGGGCAAGACAAAGGGACCTCTCCTGCCAAAGCTGGAAATCTAGAAATGTCTCCTGCAGCTCCGAGACCCCTCAAAGCCTGGCTGGAGCGCAGCGCCCGGGGAGCGCACAGAGGTGGAGCTGCGGGTCCTGTCACGTGCACAGATTGAATAATTCAGATTTAAAAGACCTACTTTCCCGTTAGACCATTTCCTGCTGAGGAGCAGGTGGGGGTGGGGCATCTGAATTGTGTCTCCCCTCCCAGGGGTTTTAGAGAAGGCCTGGTGTGGAGCCAGTATCGGGGCAGCCACCTCCGCCCTGGGGCCCAGCTCAGTCCTGCCCTGGGTTGGGCACAGCTGACCGAGTATGGCTCTGGACTTAGGGACCCAGAGCTGACTGGGTGTGGCTCTGGACTCAGGAACCCAGGCTGATCTCTGAGATCCTTGCAGAGAAGGGAGTGTCACTGGGAAGCGTTTGCTCTGCCAGGGAGAGGGTGGGGCAGTAGGAGAGGGCCAAAAGACACAAGAGGCCTGGGCTGAAAGGAATGGAGGTGGAGCAGGGAGGGCAGGTCTGAGCCCGGCTCTAGATCCCCCAGGCCACCAAGGGCTCCGGTGTTTCTTATCTCTAGGGATGGGCTCTGGCTGGAGGCGGGAAGCATCTTTGCGGTCACACCGTACTCAGGGCAGATGCCCCTACCTTCCAGGGACTGTGTACTGCAGAGGGCAGCCCCAGGCTGCAGTAAGGACCTGGGAGTAAGCACCCGGGGCCCCTGCTCCTTCCCTCCCTCCTTCCTCTCAACTTTGCCTTCCATAAACCATCAAATAGGATTTCTGCCTGGACTATGGGGCAAGTTCCAGGGACAGCCCTGCCTCACCATGACGACCTACAGATAAGCTGGAGGTGCTGGGGCTGCACCCTGCCCCTTGGATATGGCTAAGGCAGGCACTGGCCTGGCGTCCTCCTGTGTGGCCTTCCTCCATGGCCCTGGCTGTAACGAGATGGGCTGACCAGTCTGATGGTGGCCTGTGGGACAAGGGAGCCCCAGGGCACAGCCCTGCCACTGCCCAGTCTGGCCTGCAGTGTGGTGGCCACTCCTCCTGAGGCTCCTCCATGGCCCTGGGCCAGGCTTGCAGGGACCTTCCGGGGCCCCTCCCATCCCACAGCTGCTGGAAGGTCTCTGGTGACAAACGACTGCTGCCTCAGCCTCCTCTCCCTGCTCCTCAGTTCCACTTTTTTTTTTTTTTGAGACGGAGTCTCGCTCTGTCCCCCTGGCTGGAGTGCAGTGGCGCAATCTTGGCTCACTGCAAGCTTCACCTCCCGGGTTCCCGCCATTCTCCTGCCTCAGCCTCCTAAGGAGCTGGGACTACAGGTGTCTGCCACCGCGCCCGGCCAATTTTTTGCATTTTTAGTAGAGACGGGGTTTTACCGTGGTCTCGATCTCCTGACCTTGTGATCCGCCCGCCTTTGCCTACCAAAGTGTTGTGATTACAGGCATGAGCCACCGCACCCAGCCTAGTTCCACTTTTAACTCAGGTGGGCATTGAAGGCTGGCATTAGGCCTGCCAGATTCTGAGGGCCACCTCTAACCCCTCACCTGCCAATGTGCAGAACACCGTCCGCCGACTGACTTTGCATCGTCCCTTGGCCCTTGATATGCCCCCATGCTCCATCCCGCCTCTCGAGAGTCCAAGCAGAGAAGGCTTCCGGCAGGGGCCCAGCTCTCCTGACGTCCAGCCACTCAGGTTCCTCGCGCCCTGCCCTTGTTCTGGCCCAGGTGATGGTTCTGCCCCTCCTGATCTCTTGCTCTGGGCTCTGGTCCCTGTGCTGGCTTGCATCTTCCTCACTCAGAACTCAGAGCATCGGCCACACCAGCTGTTCTCTGATGACCCCGTGTGCCTGGCACCACGCTGGGCTGGTGGAGCAGCGGTAAGAGTGGGCTTCACAGGGCTCACACGGCAACAGGAGGAGGGCCCAGAGAAGGCAGCCAGGAAGAAACCACAGGAGAAAAGAAACCAGCAAGGTACCTGGGAGGGATGGTCAGGGCTGGGGAGACATCTCCCTGGAGGTGACACCCGCAAAGGCCTGAACTACACGAGGTTATGGGGAGACTGTCCCAGGCAGACAGAGCCACTGGGCCAAAGGCTGGAGCATGGAATTCGGTGGTGTCAGGGAGCATCGAGGAGCCAGCGTCTGGACAGTGGGGAGGGGAGGAGGGGCCTGGACCCTGGGGAGAGAGTAGGTGATGGGAACTGTCAATGCTTTCAGTGATATGATTGACGATTCAGGCCGTGTGCGCAGTGGCTCCTGCCTGTGATCCCAGCCCTTCGGAAGGCTGAGGTGGGAGGACTGCTTGAGCTCAGGAGTTTGAGACCAGCCTGAGCAATACAGGGAGACCCTCATCTCAAAAAAAAAACACCAAAAAAAAAAAAAAAAACCCAAAAATAAATAAATAAAATAAAAATTCAAAAAACTTCCCTGGGAATTCAGTCCTTGCTCACTTGTGCTAGGTAGGTAGGTGCCCCTGTGGGGATGGCACCTCGGTGGCCCAGTGGAGGTCAGAGGCCACACAGGGTGAGGAGTGGGTAGCATACAGTGGGGTGGAAGAGAGGATGAGAGACTGGTTACACAGGACATAATCAGAGCCAGGTTCCTCACTCCCAAAGCAGGATGCCCCTCATTCGGAACAGGTTGAGCCCTGCAGTGTCGGCCTTGCATCAGAGTAAATGCGTGGCGCCCAAGAAAATCATAGACAAAAACACCCATGAAACTGTGTGTATACGTATACGTGGGAGCATGTACATAGATGTGCTCCCTTGCTCCACCAGCTGCAAGGACACCCCAGTAGCAATGAGCACACCCGGGACCCCATCCCCGGCTCTGCATGACATTCTCCCACAATGAACCAGGTTGCCAGCAGAAATAGCTGGGTTCAGGCTGGGGCAGGGAGGATACAACAGGACCCTGGAGCATCTCGTGCCAGAAATAAAGGCCTCCGGGAATGACGCGGACAAGTGAAGTGGGAGGGAGACAGAAGGGTGGGAAGGCATGGGTTCCCTGTCTGGTGGAGGCTCCCCAGGGAGGGGAAGCGCGTGGCAGGGAGGGCAGGCGGCGGACGCATCCAGAAGCCGCACTTACTGTGTGTCTGCTTCCTCACACAAGCGCCATGCACACAAAATGAGAAGGAAAACGCCAGTTGAGAGAGGCGGGTGGTATCCCAGGGTGTGGAGAGAGTAGAAGGTGGGAAATAGGCGTTGGGGGTGGGGTGGGTGGCCCCTTGAGGTTGGGGCCCTGGTTGAGGGGAGGCCCAGGGGATGAAGCTGGGTCTTTCTCCCTTTCGACTGTGCCGGTGCAGGCCTGGAGGAAAACGGACGCCAGGTTTGGTGTGGAAGGGGAGCTCGGAGGGGATGAAGGCCCAGGCGGGTGGAAGAGCAGGGCGCTGGCTGGGGAGGAGCAGAGGGAAGAAGCCGGGGGTGAGGGGCAGCCGGAGCTCAGCTGGAAAGACAGCAGGAGGCGGTGGGCACAGGGGCGGGTTCCATGGACGTTCTGGAGGCTTCTGAGGACACCAAGCCTGGAAGCCAGGACATGTGGCCTTCTTGACTTCGTTCCCCTTCCTCACCTGGGGTCTCCGGTCCCCGCTGTCCACTGCTCAGCGGCTTGGGAGGGGTCCGCGGCCTCCGCTTCTGCCAGGCGGCCCTGCCCGCAGCAGCGAGAGGAGCCACGGGGCGCTGCCCTCCTCCGCAGCCCGAGGCCCACCTCACACGCACTGAGCCCACGCGCGGGTCTCTGCCCGCCAGCCCCGTCTGAGCTCGCCGCAGTCCCTGCTTGAGAGGCCGGGGGGCACCTGCGCCTGCCCGGGACCCCGACCTGCTCGCGGGGCCCGGCGCCTCCTCTGCAGGCAACGACCTCGCCCGCGGTGCCCCTACTCGCCCCGTCCCCGGAGGGACCGCCCCCGCCCGCGGCCTTCCCCGCCCCTGCCCGGTCCCTTGAGTGCCCCCCGCCCGCCGTTACCCAACCACCGCCCCCGGAGGAGCCCCCGCCCGCGGCTACCCAACCTTACGCTGTCCCCGGAGGGCTCCGCGCCAGTGTTCCCCCCGCCCCGTCCCGTCTCCGAGGGCCCACTGCCCCGGTCCCCATCCCGCTCGGTCCCCGCAGGGCCGGGCCGCCGGGGGGGTCTCCTGAAGCAGCGGTCCCGGAAGACAGCAACACGGCCTCTTTAAGCCGCTCGGACACGCGCTCGGGCCCGTTGCGAGTTGCAAGCGCGCAGGCGTGCGCGTGCCCGTCGGGCCTAGCGAGCGCGCGCGACGCGCGACGTGCGTGGTGACGCGAACGCGTGGGGTTTCCCGAGACTGCGGGCAGGGGCCCGCCGCGCCCATCCCGATGGCTGGAGGCGTCTGAGGGGCGGACGGAGGCGGCGGCGGCGGCGGCGGCGGGAGCGGGAGCGGGAGCGGGCGCGGGCGGCGAGTGGGGAGCGGGGTCGGGAGTGGAGCAGCCGCCGCGGCGGGAGTGGACCGAGCCTTGCCGGTGCGCACCTGCCCGCAGCGCCCGCGGAGCGCGCAGCGCGGCCCGAGCGCGACGACCTCCCGAGCAGCGGCCGAGGCGGCGGTGCGGGCGCGTCAGGCCGCGACGAGGGCGCTGAGGTGAGCGCGGCAGCCCCCAGCCCCCGACCCGGCCTCAGTTCGTCCACCGGCCCGCCCAGGGGGCGCCCGCCCCGCCCCCACCGCACCCGCCGGCTGGGCCGCGTCTTCCTGCCCCGCCCGGGTGCGGCGGGCGGCGTCCGAAGGCGGGGGCCGGGAGCTGGGGTCCGAGGTTCGGGGTGCAGGGTCGGGGTCGAGGGCGGGGTCTCGGGCGAGGAGCCGGGGTCCGAGGCCCAGGGCTGGGGGCGAGTTTCGGCCCTGGGTGCGGGGCTGTGCGCGCCGCGGGAGCTTCCCGTAGCGGCGGCCGGGGCCTCGGGGGCGCGGGTCGGGCGGGGCCGGGCCCTGCGTGGGGAGCCGGACGTGGCGCTCGGGCCCTCGGCGCGAGAACAAAGGCCGGGCGGGCGTGCAGGCGGGGCGGTGTCGGCGGCCGGAGCCCCCGCGCGGGCCGCCTATCGGGGTGACTTTGAGGGCCGGGCGGCCGCAGGGGGCGAGCGCGGGGAAGGGGAACAATGAAATGGGGAAGCCGGGCCGCGCGCCGCGGGCGGAGTGGGGATTTAAAGCGGAAGCCGGGCGCGGCGTCGGGAAATGGGAAAATAACGGTTTCGGCCCTTTCGCTGTGCGGAGTCGCGGAGACGGCCGCGCCGTGGCCTCGCCCTTCTCCTGCCGAGGCCGGGGTCTGTCTGGCGCCGGCGCCCCGCGCGTGTCGGCCGGGGGCTTGCGCGGACCCGGGCCCGGGCCCGCGAATGAATGGGCCCGGTGGCCGCGCCAAGATGGCGCTCCTGGCGGTGCCTTTGTGGGGCGGCCACCGCCGCTCCGAGTTTCGGGGCCCGGTTTGCGATATTCCGAAGGCCCGAAGGTGGGGGAGAGGACAGGAAATAGCACAAAGGCTGGGTGTCTTCCTCCTGCCTGGATCGGCTTTTCGGCTGGAAGCTGGATGGGGGTGGGGAGTGGGGAGCTGAAAATTCCACACGACTGTCGGCTGAAGCTTTTCACTTTTAAGAACCTCCTATATTTTTCCTTGTCAATTGATAGTTGGTTCAAATAGTATTTTAACATTTCTTGTGTCTTTTAAATTACATGGTTAGCATGCAGAAGCAGTATCAGCTTTGTTTGCTAAATTCATTTGCATGGAACCCCCCTTTTTTTTTTTTTTTAATAATAGAGATGGGATCTCTGTGTAAAAGAGATCCTGTTAACCAGGCTGGTCTCGAACTTTGGGGCTCAAGCGATCCTCTCGCCTCAGCCTCCCAAAGTGCTAGAATTAGAGACCTGAGCCACCATGTCCATCCTGTCTTCATGGAAGGTTTTTGTTAGGATTGTGAAATGCATTTATTGAAGGAAAACGCCGATGTTAAAATTTGTGTTTTGAAAAGGGAGTTGGTGTGCATTTACAGTTAGGGTGTACAGTGCTCGACTTATGGATAAACAGTGTAGAAATTTTAACCTACGGTTTTCGTTTGGGGAGCATTGGTTCATTGTATTTTCAGGTTGCTATCTATCTGATAACAGTCTCAAATAGTATTAGGTGATTAAGCAGTTGCTGGTGAGATTATTAATTAAGAAAATATGAAGATTATTTTTCATGATTAGCAAATGGACGTATTAGTTTTGTGAAAAGTCCCAGTGAACCATGCATACTGAATAAGGCCTTTGGAGCAAGCATTGTTATCGATAAGGTTTCTGAATAAGTTATTTTCTAATCTGAAGTGATAGTCTTTTGGGAGAGGGAGGAGCTGTTTATTGAATGTAAGGTTTTAATTTTCATGCTATTGAGATATATAGTTTATTCTGGATTCTTTGGGAAGGTATATATATCAAGAAAGTGAATAGGTGGTTCCTTCTTTCTTTGCTAACGCTGGGTGCGTGGCTGGGGAGGAAGCTGGTGCCACTGACATGGAGACAGGTCTGAGAGCCTCCGCAGGGTAGGACCAAGTGGTGGGTTTTGGCTTGGTTTATGGTAAGGCAGAACTTTATTATTATTATTATTATTTGAGATAGAGTTTCGCTCTTGTTGCCCTGGCTGGAGTGCAATGGTGCGATCTCAGCTCATTGCAACCTCTGCCCCCCAGGTTCAAGTGATTCTCCTGCCTCAGCCTCCCGAGTAGCTGGGATTACAGCTACCGCCACCACACCCAGCTAATTTTTTGTATTTTTAGTAGAGATGGGGTTTCACTATGTTGGCCAAACTGGTCTTGAACTCCAGACCTCAGGTGATTCACCCACCTTGGTCTCCCAAAGTGCTGCGATTACAGGCGTGAGCCACCGCGTCCGATGGTAAGGCGGAACTTTCTAACAATTAGAGAGCTGCGCAGAAATGGACTGCAACTGCAAGGTCTACAGGCTCATCCTGTCAACCCTAGGGGAAGGCTGGACTGCAGGTGTCGGACGGTGGTCCCAGGTTAGGAACGTTTGGTTTCGTCAACACTGAAAGTCCCTTTTTTTTTTCTTTCAGACATTGAGAGTTGGAAAACCAGTTAAGTTCTGAGGTGCCTGTGCCCCCTCCCAGTTAAGCACGCACTGCCCAGGCCCAGTGTGAGGATGACATTTCATCTTCTGCTGGAACCTTTCAAGATGAGTTTTATAGAGGAAACTGTTCCAACATTAAATTTCAGCTCAGAATTGACTTTCTCAAAAGAGCACATCCACTGGACAAAAGCTATTTCTCTCGCATAATCTGAATTTATGACACAGTCATAGTTACCTCATCAGACAAGTACTGACAGTGCTCTTCAGTGATATCTTTAAAATGTTTTTATTTTTCTTCGATATCTTCAGTTAATTCTGTTTTGGGGAGGGGTGGGAGAGTTGAAGTAAATTTTCTCAGGTTTAATTTTGATCTTAGAAGATTCAGGAGGCTGCAGAATAGTGTGTTTTTTGTTGTCGTTTGTTTTTAAGCTTAAAACCCACTGGGTGTGGTGGCTCACTCCTGTAATCCCAGCACTTTGGGAGGTGGGGCGGATCACATGAGGCCAGGAGTTTGAGGCCAGTCTGGCCAACATGGTGAGACCCTGTATCTACTAAAAATATAAAAATTGGCCGGACGCAGTGGCTCACGCCTGTAATCCCAGCACTTTGGGCGGCTGAGGCAGGTGGATCACGAGGTCAGGAGATGGAGACCATCCTGGCTAACACGGTGAAACCCCGTCTCTACTAAAAATAGAAAAATTAGCTGGGCGTGGTGGCGGGTGCCTGTGGTCCCAGCTACTCGGGAGGCTGAGGCAGGAGAATGGTGTGAACTCGGGAGGTGGAGCTTGCAGTGATCCAAGATCGCGCCACTGCACTCCAGCCTGGGCAACCGAGCGAGACTCGTCTCAAACAAACAAACAAAAAGCCGGGCGTGGTGGTGGGCGCCTGTAATCCCAGCTACTCAGGAGGCTTAGGCAGGGGAATCGCTTGAACCCGGGAGGCAGGGATTGCGGTGAGCCGATATTGCGCCACTGCACTCCAGCCTGGGTGACAGAGTGAGACTGTCTCTAAAGAGTTAAACCTCTGTAAATCTTTTTTATGCCCAATGACTTCGGTTTCAAAGCTTGTATCATGTAGGTAGATTTATATTGATCACTTGAGAAATAGAATTTGAGGAGTTAATTTATTTCGTAAAGGAGGTGTTGTACTATCCTGCAAAAGTACCAGAGCTTTGTTCTCTTCCCTTTGCTTTGTTAAAAATTTTCTGTCTTTTGGTTCATTTTCTGTGTGTGTTGATCCACTGGAAAAGTTGTAGCTTTGTAGCTAAATACCGCTTTGATTAAAGGATGAAAAAGGTCTTCAGGGCGTCTGTAGACTCATCTACCATCAGTTGACTTTTTGTAGCTAATACTTTAATGAATAATGTTGATTTTATTTTAGAAGTGCAGTGTTGGCATTTATTGTAGTTTTGTCGTTGGATTGTTTGTCTCTGCCCAAAAGATTTGGCTCATGTTGGTCTCTAAATTGGATTACATTCTTACTGTCTGTGACTTTGGCTTTAGCATTAGTGGATTGGTAATAGATATTCTCAATTTTTAAATCTGGCTTGACCATATGGCAGGCCATGTTATTTTGAAACCCCTATTTAGTGTAAGTCTCATAAGACATGGAACACAAATTTTTAGAAAATTTTAAACTGGTTTGGCTGGGCGTGGTGGCTCATGCCTATAATCCCAGCACTTTGGGAGGCCGAGGCAGGTGGATCATGAGGTCAGGAAATTGAGACTACCCTGGCTAACACGGTGAAACCCCGTCTCTACTAAAAATACAAAAAATTAGCCTAGTGTGGTGGCAGGCACGTGTAATCCCAGCTACTTGGGAGGCTGAGGCAGGAGAATGGCGTGACCCGGGAGGCGGAGGTTGCAGCGAGCCAAGATCGCGCCAGTGCACTCCAGCCTGGGCGACACAGTGTGACTCCGTCTCAAAAAAAAAAAAAAAAAAAAAAAAATTTTTAAGCCGGTGTTTAAATTCTGATTTCAGGTTTGCATTTGTTAAGAGTGGTTGGAGAGATTATGAAGTAGGCAATTCAGTTAAGTGTTTGGTTTAGGAACATAGAATGAGGAGATAAAATAGATTTAAAATGGAAACTATCAGAAATAGTTTATGAAACTGCAGTGTTCAATGTTACTGAAAGAAAAAGCAAGGCAAACATGTATGGGAGTGTGTATGAAGAGAAAGAGAAATACAACATCACATCAGCTGCTCTGGGAGAGGGAGGGAGCACTGCCTCTTTCAAAGCTGTGTATTTTGTTCCAGAATTTTGATTGAAGAAATATAGACAATCTATAGACATTTGAGTTTGCTAGTGGATTAGTGGAATGCTGAAAGCTTTTTTTGTTTTGAGACAGAGTCTCTCTCCGCCACCCAGGCTGGAGTGTAGTGGCGCAGTCTCGGCTCACTGCAACCACCGTCTCCCAGGTTCAGGTGATTCTCCAGTCTCAGCCTCCCGAGTAGCTGGGATTACAGGCACCCACTGTCAAGCCCAGATAATTTTTTAAAAATTTATTTTAGTAGAGACAGGGTTTCACCATGTTGACCAGGCTGGTCTTGAACTCCTGACCTCAGGTGATCCACCCGTCTCAGCCTCCCAAAGTGCTAGGATTACAGGTGTGAACCACTGCATCCTGCCGGAATGCTGAAAGTTTTTTTTTTTAAACCTTTTAGCCTCTTGTTCTTGTGGCAGTGCCTACCATTGGGTGCCACGGTAATCAGTGGAAATTACTCCTGGCTTTCAGTGGTAGAAAAGCTTTCTGTTTTATAGAGCAATGTTGCTTGCTTTCTTTTTTTTAAGATTAAGTGAAAGTATTTCCTTATCTATGTCTTCTTAAATTAGAATTCTGAGAAAGACCCATTTTTTAAAAGTTAACTGATTAAAAAGACCAAATTAAGATTATCTAAGGCAGTTTTTTTTTTTTTTTTTTTTTTTTGAGATGGAGTTTCGTTCTTGTTGCCTGTGCTGGAGTGCAATGGGGCGGTCTCGGCTCACTGCAACTTACGCTTCCCGGGTTCAAGCGATTCTTCTGCCTAGCAGCCTCCCAAGTAGCTGGGATTACAGGCGCCTGCCACCACACCCAGCTGATTTTTGTGTTTTTAATAGAGATGGAGTTTCACCATGTTGGCCAGGCTGGTCTCCAACTCCTGACCCCAAGTGATCCGCCTGCCTCTGCTTCCCAAAGTGCTGGGATTACAGGTGTGAGCCACTGCGCCCAGTTATCTAAGATAATTCTTAAGTTTATTCTGTTGAACCTATTTTGCCATTGATAAAATAATGATTTGATCATTAGTTGCTCTAAGCTTACTAATGCATTTTATCAAGAGAGGACTTTATGTATTAATTCATTCACCTGTTAAAATTGGAATACTGGTCGGGCGCGGTGGCTCACACCTGTAATCCCAACACTTTGGGAGGCAGAGACGGGCGGATCACGAGGTCAGGAGATCGAGACCATCCTGGCTAACACGGT